GGTAATACACAAATATATACCAGTATTCTATAAAATAGGATGTATCAAAAATATATAAATATACTATAAAATAGTGTATATCAAAAATATATAAATATACTATAAAATAGTATATATAAAAATATATAATTATACTATAAAATAGTATATATAAAAATATATAATTATACTATAAAATATATAATATACATCAAAAATATATAAATATACTAATAAATATATTTGATATATTTTTATAATAATATTATATATTATATAGAAATATCTGATATTTAATATATTTTTATAATAATATTATATATTATATAGAAATATCTATTTAGGATATATTAAATATCAAAATACATACTCTAAAATATATAAAATATATCAAAACACGTAAATATATCATAACATATATATTATATATAACCCCATCGAAATTACTATAAAATATATAGTATATATAGATAGAGTAATATACTATAAAATATAATATGTATATTAAGAATACATAACTGTACCATACAAACACCACTCCCTGTGAGGCAACAAGTGGGAAACTGTTGTCTCAGGATTCCATCACCCTTCCTGCCTCCTAAAAATACCCCAAACCAAGCAAACTTCGTGCTAACCTAAAATATTCAGCTGTCTGAACAGTGCAGGTGCCACCTGTGCTTTCGTGGTGGGAATTAGGACACAGAAGGGGTGTAGGAAGATCATTATCAGCTCCAAGGGTTCCTCCTCCCAGACACCAAAACCACTTCCCAGTCCCTATTAATTGTTAATTATCCTCAGCCACAGGTACAGCCCCTCTCTCCCAGTTTGCCACCGGGATGCTCCGAGGGAAAAATGGGCTTTTTGCAGGAACACTTTGCCAGATGGCTGAGCTCTCCCCTCCTCTCAGCCTCAAAAATAACTCCAGAAAGACACAGATCTCTCCCTGCTCCCTCCTGACCAACCATCCCAGCTCCCCGAGGACTTGGGAGATGGGAAACTGCCACTAATGAGACAACACAGGGCGAATTTTTGTAAGGACGACTAAAATAGTACCAAATAGAGGTAACTAGAACCCAATAAATCCGTACATGGAAGCTCCCCATGAATATTTTGGAGCCTTTCCCACAAATATGAAAATAAACCTATGGAAGATGTGACAGGAGCTGCCATGGGGGGACTGACAGGACACAAACTCCCAAAAAAGCCTCTGGTCAGGGCCCAGCTGGAGGAGAAGCTCCCGACGCTCCCACTAGTGGCAAACCCGGCTCCTGCAACCCAGAATTCCACACAAAATCCATCCACAGGCTGGGAAAACCCACAAGGATGACGGGGGAACGGAGTGAGGTGAGCTTGAAGGTCCCTCCCAACCCAAACCATCCTGGAATTCCCCGGGAAAAGGGCAGAGTTGTTCTCACCACCCCAGCAAAGCCGCTGCTGAGGCTGCTGAGCCCTCCCAGACACGTCCTAGGGGGAAATTTGGGACTGTCCCCAGTTCTGGGGAGCTCTGTGCTGATGGATCATGCCCTGAACGTGTGAGGGGGTCACGTCCATCCAGCTGTTTCCAGGAATCCCATGGAACAATGGGAAGGGAACAATCTTGGTCCCACCTGTTGGAAGCCAACCCGGGGAAGGGATACCCCGAAAATTTGGGATAGAGCCCCGTGAAAGGACAGAGCAGCTCTGAGGCTCAGTCAGGGGGGCAGGACACAACACCTCAGCATTCCCCACACTCTGGACCCTCCTTTTCCACGCCACCCACCCCCTTTCCCCACTCCATGGTCAAATCCCACCAGGACTGGGCTCAAAGCTCCTGATCGTGGGGAAGCAGCAGCACAGGATCCTGTTTCCTCATGGAAATTCCCACCTGAACCTCCCCAGTATCCGGGATAACACCTCCCCAAATAAAGCAGATCCTGTGTCTAAACTCAGCTCGGGAAAAATTCATTTCCCAAAGAAAACGATGTCAAAGCAGGAGCAAAATTTTAAAACTTCATTAAAAAAAAAAAAACCAACCCCCAAACGAGCTGCTCTGGTGAGTGGGCTGGGCCTGCCCACACTCCATCATCCCCGAAATCCTCCAGGAAGCAGCGGTGACTCAGCCTGCGGCACACACAGCCAGCCCGGGCTCCTGAGGAACAGCCTGCCCAGGAACCCCCAAACCCAGGGAATCCCGGCACTGAGGGGCAGCTGGGAGCCCCCAGCCTGTCCTGCTGGGCCAGCTCACCCCCCCAGCTGGGCTGCAATCCGGGGCAGGGACTGTCCCCCTGTGCTGGCTCTGCTGAGACCCCCCCAGGGCTGTGCCCAGTTCTGGGCAAGAGAGACACTGAGGGGCTGGAGCGTGTCCAGAGCTGGGAAGGGAGCTGGGAAGGGGCTGGAGAACTGAGGGAGCTGGGGGGGCTCAGCCTGGAGAGGAGGAGGCTCAGGGGGGACCTGCTGGCTCTGCAACCCCCTGACAGGAGGGGGGAGCTGGGGGGGGTCGGGCTCTGCTCCCAGGGAATGAGGGACAGGAGGAGAGGGAACGGCCTCCAGCTGTGCCAGGGGAGGGGCAGGCTGGACAGCAGGAGGAATTCTCTCATGGAAGGGGCTGTCAGGCACTGTCAGGTTGTCAAGCACCACCAGCTCTGTCACTTGTTCCACAGAATCCCAGAATCCTCGAGGTGGGAAAAGCCCTCCCAGCCCCTGGATCCCCCCTGTGCCCGATGCCCACCTTGTCCCCCAGCCCAGAGCTCTGAGTGCCACGGCCAGGCCTTCCTGGGACACCTCCAGGGATGGGGGGGACTCCAAACCTCCCTGGGCAGCCCCTGCCAGTGCTTTACAACCCCTCCCATGAAGAAATTCCTCCTGATGTCCAACCTGAACCTTCCCTGCCGCAGCTCGAGGCCGTTTCCTGCTCGGAATTACTCGGGAATAACTTGCTGAGTGACCAAAAACCTGCTGCACGTGAGTGACTGGGGAGGGAGAGGAGCTCCAAAAGCTGCTTTGGAAAGTTTGGACACAGATCCCGCCGTGTCCCCTCTGGGGCAGCCTTGAAAACAACCAACAGACAACCAGCTGATTAAAACGAGCACTGATCTGGCTCTAATTTCACGTTAAAGGAGACAAGGAGGTGAAGTGACAGCGGAGAGACCCCCAGAGAGCGGGACTGGGAGGGACGTTTGGTGAAAAGAGGTGGTTCAGGCACCTCAAAGGGGCGATTTAGGCGCTTTTCCCCCCCAAAAAACGGGGTTTAAAAATAGCAGCGCTGACACAGCCTTAAATTTAGCAGCACAAGTGGCATCACTGCCATAAGGGGAACTCGATCCCGCCGAGGGATCCGGTGTCACGGCCGGCCCCAGGGGTCCTGGGGAACAGCTGGAAGCAGGGATTGGACAGGGATATTCTCCACTGCTCCCAGGCAGCAGGGGCTGCTTCTCCCACAGCAACTTCCTTCCCTTAAATGCAGTTGACCAGACCCCTCCACTCATGGAATGGTTTGGATGGGAAGGGACCTTAAAGCCCATCCAGTCCCACCCCCTGCCACGGGCAGGGACACCTCCCACTAGCCCAGGTTGCTCCAAGCCCCGTCCAAGTGTCCCTTGGACACTTCCAGGGCTTTGGCATTCCCTCCAAGCCCTTTTCCAGCTCAGACAACCTGTGGCACCCACGAGGAGCAACAAAATTCCCCCCAGTTCCTGTGAGCCCGAGCGATGCTGCCCTTTCTCCCAGCCCTTGGGAATCAGCAGAATCCCAGCTCCTCAGCCCGCAGGGAGAGCAGCCACGTGGAGTTCCCCACTCTGGGACCTGGTTTTGCTGCGTGACCGAAAAAAAACACATCCAGAAATCCAAGAGGAGGGAACTTTAAACTCCTCAAGGGGTCACAAGTCAAAGTGCTCAGGGATGAACAGCAGGGATTCTGCTCAGAAGTGCCAACCTCGGCCAGCCCATTTCAAACAGACCCGAGGACACTCTAATTAACACTTTAATTAACACCAACTCACCTCTGACACCTCCCGCCAAGGAGTCAGAGGCAACTCTCATCCTCAGCCCACATTCCTACAGGTACCCAAAAAAAGCTCCGGGAGGATTTCAATGGTCCCAGGGCCGGGAACACCAAGAAAGAAGCAACAAAACCCACCTTTCCACGTGTCCCTCCTGAGCGGGCTCCAACCCGCACACAAGTCCCTCTCCAGCCCCTTCCCGCCCGTTGGGAGGCCCAGGAAGCGGGAATTATTTGCGTTTCAAAGCAAAGCCGTTGTCCGTGAGGACTCCAGAACACCTCCCGTCCCCAGGGAGGGCCCCGAGCTCCTCTCCCACCTGTGGCTCCCCGTCCAGCGAGCCGGGACCGGGGGGGGCTCTCCCGGGACTGCCCGGGAGCTCCCGGCTCCACGTGCTCCGCCAACGCGCCGGGGGAAGGGGCTCGAGCCGAGACTCCTCCGGGCAGCGAGTCCCGCACGGCCCGGGGACCCCGCACCGAGCGACCCCCGGGAGGGGCGGCCCCGGCCCCGGGAGGGGCAGCGCAGTAACGGGACCCCGCACCCGCCGGGAGGGGCAGCCCCGGGCCAGCCCGCGCCCCGAGCACCGGGAAGCACCTCCGGGCGCGCCGCGGCGGGAGCAGCTCCGGCCCCCGCGGGGGACACCCGGGGACACCGCGGGACGGTCCCCGCGGCCGCCACCGCCCCCATCCCCGCTCCGACCCCTCCCCGCCCCCGCCGCACTTACCGGGCCGGGCCGGGCCCTGCGCCGCGGGGCCGCCGCCGCCACCCCGGGCCGGGCCGGGCCTGGGCCAGCGCGGGCCGCCCGGGCGGGGCGGCGGAAGGGGGGACAGGACGGGGAGGGGGGCGGGGGGCAGGGAGGGGGGCGGGGGGGGGAAGGGGCGGCCGGAACGGGGGAAAAAAACGGGGAAAGAACGGGAAAAAAAAAAAAAAGGGAAAAAAGAGGAGGCGGCGCCTCCCCCGCGGCGTGCGCGCTGCGTCACCGCGCCCTGACGTCATCACCGCGCGACCCGCGCCGCCGCCCCCGCCCCGCCGTTGCCGCGGCAACCGGAGAGACGCGGGAAGGGCGGAAGGGGCGGGGGGCGCCCCCTGGCGAGGAGGAGTCTTTTATGGGAAAGGGGCGGGGCTGAGGCGGGGCTAAAGCGGTTTCGGGCTCCGCCCATCACCAGTGGCCACGCCCTCTCCGGCGCATGGGACAGGGGGGGTGACACCCCCCCTCCGGGGGTCCCAAATCCCTCCGGGATCCTCCGTCCCCAGGGATCCTCCATCCTCCGGGATCCTCCGTCTCCGGGGGTCCCAAATCCCCCCGGGATCCGCAATCCCCCGGGATTCCACATCTCCCAGGGGTCCCCCATCTCCGGGGAGTCCCCCATCTCCCAGGAACCCCCCGTGCCCCCGGGGATTCTCCATCCTCCGGGATCCCACATCCCCTCGGCATCCCCCATCTTCCTATTCCCAAGGGATCCCCCCTCCCCAGTGACCTCCTGTCTCCAGGCTTCCCTAATCACCCAGGACCCTCGGGAATCCCTTATTCCCCAGGATCCCCCATCCCCCGGGGTCCTCCATCCCCCCGGGGTCCCCCCTCTCTGAGGATCCCCCACCTCCAGAGATGCCCCCCGCCAGGCGGGGATCCCACGTGCCGCGGTGATCCCCCCGCTCCGGGGGTTCCCACTGCACCCTGGGCACCCCCGGGGTGGGACCGGCTCCGTGCCCCCCGCCCCCCCGGGCTGAGCCCCCCGAGCAGCAGCACCGCCCGCCCGGCTCCACCTTAACCGGGGCGGCCTCGCCGCGCTGCCCGCGCCCGGGCGGCTCTGCGGGAGCGCAGGGGCGTTTATCTCGCCCGGGATCAGCCAATATTTGTGGCCACGTCAGGAGAACGAGCCCATCCTCGCTCCCCGCTCCAGCCCCGCCGCTGTCCCGTCCCGGTTCTCGGACACGCCCGCTGGGACCCCCGCGCCGGAGATGACGGTCCCGGTGGCCCTGCTGCTCCTGAGCCTCCTGCGGACGGCGGCTGCCAGGGGCGAGCGGTGCCCGGCCTGCGGGGTGGCCGCGCTGGCCCCGGGCGCGCAGCGGGACGCGCTCCTGGCGCTGGCCAAGCAGAGCATCCTGGCCGAGCTCCGCTTGCCGGCCCGGCCCAGCGCCCCCCAAGCCCCGGGCCGGGGGGCTCTGCTGGCCGCGCTCCGCAGGCTACGGGAGCAGCGCTCGGACACGGCCGCGCTCCCGGGGATGCTCCGGGACGGCCCCGGGACGGGGCTGCAGGAGTACGAGGTCCTGAGCTTTGCCGAGTCAGGTGCGTGCGGCCCCGCGGCCCGCGAGTGGGGGGGTGCGGAGGGAAAGGGGGGGGTCGTGCCGTGGGAAGGCGGCGGGAGGTGGGAGGTGCGGCCGGGATGGTGGTCACGCTGCTGCTGGAAGGAGTGAGAGGCTCCACATCCCTGACCTTTGCATCCACGTCCCAAGCAAATCCCAGTCCTGCCGCTCCCAGACGCGCTGGGGTGGGAGGGGGGCACAGGGCACGGAGGTGCTGCTGTATCGTGTCCCCTGCAGCCCATTTCTGCCGGACCCTCCCCCCGGTGCTGGAGTGGAAGGGTCAGACGGACGGGTTTTCCAAAATGGGATTTTCAGCCTCGATTCCCTGTCAGCCCACAGCGTGTGGACTGAGGGCTGCACAGCCCATCCATTCCCTGCACCCCCCTGTGCCTCTGCAGCCCCCCCAAAGGGGCCTGTCCCAGTTTCGCTTCAGAATTCGCTTCTCCTGAATTGAGCTCCCCAAAACACGCTCAGGGGTCCTGGGAAGCACCACTGGAAAAACAGGGTCCTGTATCCACTTCTCCCCGGTCCTGTATCCTGTGTCTCCTTGGAGGGACAGACTCAGCATCCCACCCCACGGAGCATCCTGCACCCTCCCTTTCCCAGCCCGAATTCCGCGTGGGGATGTGGGGGGGGCTCCGCTCCCCTCTCTGGCCCCCGTGTCCTCGAAGCCCCGCGGGAACAAAGCTGCTCCACGGCACGTTGTGTTCCCACACTCCAGGACAACAGGGTTCTCTCCTGGCTTGGTGGAGCGTCAGCTGGAACCGAGCCGGGGGATGAACCCAGGCTCGGAGCACGGGGGGGTGTTGTGTCCTCATGGGCAGAGCTGTGCCAGGAGCCCCGAGTGCTGTCATGGCCCCGTCAGCCCTTCCCCGGCCAGGAGGAGCAGCAGCTCCGCAGCCAAGGCAGAAGTGAAGGCTTCAGGGAGACCTTAGAGCCCCTTCCAGTGCCTAAAAGGGCTCCAGGAGAGCTGGAAAGGGACTTTGGACAAGGACCTGGAGTGCCAGGACAAGGGCGAACGGCTTCCGGCTGCCAGAGCGTGGGGTTAAACGGGATATTGGGAGAAATTCCTCTCCATGGGGGTGGTGAGGCCCTGAAATAGATTTCCCAGAAAAGCCGTGACTGCCCCATCCCTGGAATTTTTTCAGGCCAGGTTGGATGGGGCTTGGAGCAACCTGGTCTAGCGGAAGGTGTCCCTGCCCGTGGCAGGGGGGGTGGGACGAGTCCCGAGCAGCCCTTCACTCCCGACCCCGCTCTCGGTTCTGCGCGCAGGATCCTCCACCTCCCGCAGCGTCCGCCTGCATTTCCGCTTCTCCCGGGAGCTGGCCAGGAGCACAGAGATCCTGCAGGCCACCCTCTACCTGTTCTGGGCAGCCCCCAGCCCCGGGGCACAGCCGGTCACCGTCAGGCTCCTGTGGCCGGACCCGGCGGGGACAAACACGACGGTGGCCAGCGAGACGTGGCTGGAGGTGCAGAGACCCGGCTGGACCACGCTGGACGTGGGACTGGCCGTGCGGAGCGTCTCCGGACAGGACACCCCGCGGCTCACGGTGGAGCTGGAGGTGCCGGAGGACCGGGGGTCCCCCCTCCTGGCTGACCACAGCGATTCCCACCGGCCGTTCGTGGTGGCCCGAGCCCGGGCCAGGACGCCCCACCGTGTCCATCGCCGCGGCGTCGACTGCGGGGCGGGCTCGCGGATGTGCTGCCGCCAGGAATTCTTCGTGGACTTCAAGGAGATCGGCTGGGAGGACTGGATCATCCAGCCCGAGGGGTACCACATGAACTACTGCGCGGGGCTGTGCCCGCTGCACATGGCCGGGATCCCCGGCCTCGCCGCCTCCTTCCACACCGCCGTCCTCAACCGCATCAAGGCGGCCAGCGCGGCCGCGGCCGTGGACTCCTGCTGCGTCCCCACCCAGCGCCGGCCCCTCTCCCTGCTCTACTACGACCGCGACAGCAACATCGTCAAGACCGACATCCCCGACATGATCGTGGACTCCTGCGGCTGCACCTGAGCAGGGCAGGGGGGGACACCGCGGGCAGGGCTCCCTCCTCCCGGCTCCAGGGCAGGGCTCCCTCCTCCCGGCTCCCAGGGCAGGGCTCCCTCCTCCCGGCTCCCAGGGCAGGGCTCCCTTCTCCCGGCTCCAGGGCAGGGCTCCCTTCTCCCGGCTCCAGGGCAGGGCTCCCTCCTCCCGGCTCCCGGGGCAGGGCTCCCTCCTCCCGGCTCCAGGGCAGGGCTCCCTCCTCCCGGCTCCAGGGCAGGGCTCCCTTCTCCAGGCTCCAGGGCAGGGCTCCCTCCTCCCGGCTCCCAGGGCAGGGCTCCCTCCTCCCGCCTCCTGGCTGCGAGACGGGAGCCCTGCCGAGGGGTTTGTTCCTCCTCAGGGTGATGCTGAATGTGCAAGTTCTCTGCTCACTCACCTCCCACCCGGCTCTTTCCCCCCTTTGGATCTGCCCCTGGATTTCTCTCACAGCACCTCAGAACGGTTCCTGGTGGACTCCAGACCCTCCTCCTGCCGGACGCTGAGGCTCAGGGTGGTCCCACTGCTGTCCCATCCTGAGGTCATGGGTGCAGCTGCACCAACACAGGACCCAGCAGTGGCCACCCCGGGCTGCTGGGGCTGGCGAGGACCGAGGGGAGGGGAAGGGCGGGGTGGGAGGGGAGGGGATCAATCATCCCTTTGGCCTCACTCAGCTGGATGTGAGGCTGAGGAGGGCGAGGAAGGGGAAGTCGATCCCAGTGGGAGGAATGTGTCTCCCTCTCCGAGCATCCCTGGTGTTCAATAAAGACTCCCAGCTGTGGTGTGTGTGCACAGGTGTGTGTGTGTGTTCCACGTGTGTGCACATGTGTGTGTGTGTTCCACGTGTGTGCACAGGTGTGTGTGTGTTACACGTGTGTGCACAGGTGTGTGTGTGTTCCACGTGTGTGCACAGGTGTGTGTGTGTTCCACGTGTGTGCACAGGTGTGTGTGTGTGTTCCACGTGTGTGCACAGGTGTGTGTGTGTGTTCCATGTGTGTGCACAGGTGTGTGTGTTCCACGTGTGTGCACAGGTGTGTGTGTGTGTTCCACGTGTGTGCACAGGTGTGTGTGTGTGTGTTCCACGTGTGTGCACATGTGTGTGTGTGTGTTCCACGTGTGTGCACATGTGTGTGTGTGTGTTCCACGTGTGTGCACATGTGTGTGTGTGTGTTCCACGTGTGTGCCCTGTCGTCAGCCAGCACATCTTCCAGTGCTCCTGGCACAGGCGGCTCAGAAAGCCCGGGAAGCAGGACTGGGCATCTCCACACTGTTCCCAAAGGCCTCCCAGGCTGCCCTTCCCAGAGGGATGCAGACACTGCTTCGCCCCAGCCAGATCCAGGGCACAGCACGAGACCCCTCTGAACACAGGGGGCTTGTGATTCCCACAGGAAAGGCACCATTCCCTGCTTGGGCCAAGTCACCCATCCCACCAAAACCACCTGGATTTGGCCCTTCTTGTCCCAAATCAGGACCAGACAAGAGAAGCTCCGTTCTCCCTTCTGAAGTGGGCGGACGCTGCCAGGTGAGAGCTACGGCACCCAGGCCCTCCCCTCGCCCACAGCCCCCCCAGCCCCTCAGCGAGCCCCTGGCCCTCTGCCAGAGCTGCTGCCCCCCCTCTGTGCCCCTCACCAGCCTGGTGACAGCAAAGTGGGCCATGCCAGGGCCGTGAGAGCAGAGGGCAAAGGGCGGCTCCGACGCTTCGGCCCCGTTACGTAACAGAACGTTCGGGCTCCTCCAGCTCCCCACGTGCCCCCCGGGTGTGAGGGATGGGCGAGGGGGGGCTGGGCTGGGACATTCGGGAGGGGAGCTCCAGGGGCCACCTCAGTCCGGGAGGGGCTCGCCCTGCAGGCACTGGTGGTCCCGCCCTGGAGGCTGGGACGGGGCTGGTCCAGGTGGGGAGAGGGTGGGCAGAGGGAGGAGGTGGTGCCAGGGCCGCTCCCCACACAGCTTTGCATCCTCTGTCCACTCCAGGATGATGAGCCGTGAGCTGCTCCGGCTGGAGCAGGGGCAGGATGTCCTGGAGGACCTGGGACACCTTGGAGCAGGGATGGAGCAACCCCTGACAGGTGTCAGTGTTTGCCCACGTTGCACACACCCTCCCACCGAGCCCTGACGGAGCAGGGACCCCCCATGTCCCCAGATCCAGGTGTCCAGGGACCCCCCCATGTCCCCAGATCCAGGTGTCCAGGGACCCCCCATGTCCCCAGATCCAGGTGTCCAGGGACCCCCCATGTCCCCAGATCCAGGTGTCCAGGTGCCTCCAGGACTCGGACCCGCAGCGTTCCCGTGCAGGGGCAGGGAGGGAGGCTCGGGGATCGATCCTGTCTGGGGCCCAAGGCCACTTGTGCAAACCCAAAGAGGGTTCGGTGTTTGTTTTTTCCCTTCTTTTTCCAACGCCTCGTTTCACGGTCTGTGTTTATTGAACAAACAACTTCCCTGGAGCCAGCATCGAGCCTGCCAGGCTGCAGCAGCCCTGGGCACCCGGGGGCTGAGGGAAGGGGCAGGAGAGATGTCGGCTGCTCCCGTGGCCCTACAGACCCCTCAGCTCAGGCTGCACAACCCCAAAACCCTGAGCTGGGGCTTGGCCCACTCCCAGGGGAAACAGGGCACCTGGATGGAGCCGACAGCCCCTTCCCCACCCGCAGCACGGGGTGAATTCCAAGGTAGGAATTCCAGGTAGCAGGAGTTCCAAGGTGGCATTTCCCACCGGGGGAACGCGCAGGGTGAGGAAGCTGCAGTCAGGGACAAGTGATTCCCCGGAGCCAGGAACGCTCCCTCTGGGACCAGGATGGCAGTGCCACGGGGACATGGCATCCATGGCATCAACCCAGCAGCTGGGCTGTGCCAGATGTGGCACGGAGGGGGACAGAGGTGATGTCCCCTCGGTCTCCGTTGCGGGAGAGGACAGATGTGCCTTCTGGAAGGACCCCTTGCCAGTGTAAACAGCCCCTGAAGCAAAGGTCTGAGTGCCCCGTGCCAGGTGCCCCCGGGCAGGGCCAGCTCCCGGGAGGGGTGGGAATTTCTGACAGCCCCTTCCCTTGCCTTGAGAGGAGTTAATGTTTAATTCCCAGTCTCACGGCCCGTTCCCAGCCAGCGGCACCAGTGTGGTGACCATTGCTCTTCTCCCAAGGAAGGAGCGAGGGTACAAGGGGAACCAGCCTCAAGTTGTGCCAGGGTGGGGCTTAGACTGAATATCAGGGAAAATTTCTTCATGGAAAGGGTGGTCAAGCCCAGGGCAGTGGTGGAGTCACCATCCCTGGGAGTGTTCAGAAACCTGTGGATGTGGCACCTGGGGACATGGTTTTGTGGTGGCCTGGGTTGGGCTCGATGGTCTCAGGGGCTTTTCCAGCCTTAATGACTCCATGATTCCATGGCTCCACGACTCCACGATTCCATGAGCCACGCTCAGGCGCCGGTGCACGAGCTCCTGGGGGGTCCAGGCTGAGCCCAGCCCGTTGTCACCTGCAGGGCAGGTCACCAGGTGCCACACACTCATCCCACCGGCCGCGGGGTCGGAGGCCCCGGAGCCGTGTGTGCTGGGCCCGGGGGGGGGGACCCGGGGGGGTATTTTGGTCGGGTCAGTCCCTGGGCTTTGCTTTCTGGGAACCGCTTAATCAACAACACACTGATGCAATGGGTGCAAGAGCAGCTCCGCTCTGACCCCTGCCCTACTTCGGGGGGCCGGCGCGTGCTGGGGGGCACGAGGGGCTGGGCATCATCCCACGCTGCTGCTGAGCCCGAGGGGGAATGGGCATCCTGCACCGCCCAGAGGGGCCCCGGCAGGGTTCAACGGGGTTAATCCCTTTGGGGACACCCCCCCTTTCCAGCCTGGGTGGCTTGGAGAGTCCCTGGCCCGTTTGCCACGCTTTGTGTCTCCCATTTCCTGCTGTGCCACAGCCCCGGTCCTGGCTCTAGGGTCTGGCAGGGGTGGAGAGATTCGGCACAGCAGGGGAATGGGCTTGTGGTGGACATGAAGCTGATCCGAAACAGAGCCAGAATCCAAATATTTGGGAGAGGGCCTGGACATGCGCTTGCAAGGGAGCGTGCAGATGTGCATCAGAGAATCATGGAATGGTTTTGGGTGGAAGGGACCTTAAATCTCATCCAGTTCCACCCCTGGCCATGGTCAGGGACACTTTCCACTAGTTGCTCAGAGCCCCGTCCAACCTGGCCTTGGACACTTCCAGGGTAGAGGTGCTCTCCCTGTGGCACCATCCGTGCCTGTGAGCGCGTGTGCTCCGGGCACCTGTGCCCGGCTGGAAGTGCCACCTGCTCCATCCTGCCGGCAGCCAGGGCTCCCAGGCCCTCTGGGATCTCTGCTCCCACGCCAGCCTGTGCCCAGTCTTTCCTCTCTGTTGACATTCCTGGGCTATTCTGGGAGCTGCCAGCAGGCCCGGCCAGCTGAGCCCTTTGCCCCTTTGCTCCGCGGTTGCATCACCTCCGGTGGGTGCTTTTTCCCAGACAGCCCACTGTGTTTACATGGCACCTCTGGCTTGGCCAGGGGCAGGGGCTCCGTGTGGTCAAGACCTTGGAATCATGGCACGGTGGGCACAGGACATGCCGAGCGCTGGCGGGGCTTCAAGTTCCCACCGTGCTCTCTGGGTTCCCTGCCCAGCCGGGCTCTGCCCATCCCCCGGCAACGTGGCACCTTGCATCACTTTCCGGAGGCTTCTGCCGGCCCCTGCCCTGGCTCGGGCTGCACATCCCACTCCAAAGAGCCCGAGGAACACCTTGGTGCTGATGTGACACTGGCTGCCACCTCCTGAGCCCTCAGGACACACAAATCCCCTTTCTATTGTGTGAGGGGGAGAGGACGTTGTGTTCCCCTTCTCTGGCCCTTCCCGGCTCTGTCCTGGGCTGAGGCTGGACCAGGTGATCCAAGGGGTGGACTCAGACCCCCAAACCCATCACCCGGTGATAGCCACGAAAGCCCAGAGATGTGACAGTCCCTGGGAGCTGCAGGGTCATCCCAGGAGCCCCCTGATCCCTGCTGGGTCCTCTGTCAGCACCCAACAGGACCGGCCCTGCTATGATGGCTCAGGGATGCCCGGGGGGCAGTGCCCAGGCTGGGGGGCAGGTCTGTAAGATCCACGGGCAGGCAGGAGAGCAGGGATCCCTCCAACTGGCTGCTCTGGGGCTGATTCTCCTCCACCAGCCAGGATTTGCCCCAGCCTTTGCTTCCTGCGGGTTTTGGAGCAGGTTTGGGAGCTCAGTATCTGGCTGCCCGAGCTGGGGGGCTGCCCGGGGCAGATGCCAGGGTGAGCCACAGGCAAAGCCCACGGGTGGGTGAGCCCCTCGCCCACACACCTCTGCACTCCCCGCTATTTGCTCCTCCCCCGGGCTCCCGACGGTTCGTGGGGAGCGGGGCAGGATGGGGGGGCTGCCCACCGAGCCCCTTCCCCGGGGCAGCGGGGCGGGCGCGGGGAGGCGGGGGTGGGGTGCTAATCCCGGTAATCCCCGACGGGACGGGACGGGCAGGTGCGGCGGCCAATGGCGGGGGCGCGGGGGGGGCGGCGGGACCGCCCCCGGCCGCAGGTGCCCAAAGCGGGCCGCGCCGCACCGCTCCCGGTGCCGGTGCCGTTCCCGACCCGTGGGCGCCTCTCCCGGTGCCGGTCCCGTCCCTTCGGTGCCGCCTCGTCCCGCCGCTCCCGCTCCCGTTCCCGTCCGCTCGGCGCCGGTCCCTCGGTGCCGGCGCCGCTCCCGTCCCGTCGGTGCCGCTCCCGGTGCCGCTCCGGTGCCGTCCGGCGGGCGCGGATGGCGGGGCTCGGCGCGGGCCCGTGGCTGCTGCTGGCGGCCGTGCTGTGCGCGGCGGCCGAGCCGCGCTGCCCGTCGTGCCCGGCGGGCGCGGAGCGGCGGCTGCTGGAGGAGGTGGCCAAGAAGCAGCTGCTGGAGAAGCTGCGGCTCCGCGATCGCCCGCGGCTCGCCCACGCCGTGCCCCGCGCCGCCGTGGCCCGCGCCCTGCGGCGGCTGCAGGCGGGAGGCGCCCGCCGGGGCCCCTCCGGGGAGGAGGAGGAGGAGGAGGAGCGGGGCTACGAGATCATCAGCTTCGCGGAGACAGGTGGGGCTGCGCGACCCCCGTGGGAGCCCACGCGGTCCCCGGCGGGGCGCGGGTGAGCCCCGGGGCGGGGGGTCCCTGTCCTGCGCCCCGGGGACCCCCCCCCAATCCAGGGGTAGCGTTCCCACGGGAGGGAGGGGCACGGGGAGGGAGGAAAGTGTGTAGGTGTTTCCTGAGAAGTTGAAGGATGCCGGCCGCGACTCGCGGGATGGTGGGGCAGCATCCCACAGCTCTCACCTCCTCATCCCTTTCTCCCCTCAGATCTCACATCTCCCTCCGGTTTGGGGCTGCAGTTCCAGTTCAGCCAGGCGCAGGACCAGGACATTCGCATCCTGCAGGCTCAGCTCTGGCTCTACCTGCGAGTGCCCCGGCCCGGGCTCACCCTGAGCATCTTCCTGGCCGCCGGGGCCGGGGCCGTGGCCGGGGGCAATCGCACGCTGCTGGGGGAGAGGCGGCTGAGCGCGGCGGGGAGCGGCTGGCGCTCCTTCCCCCTCCTGCCGACCCTGCAGAGCTTCTTCGGGGGGCAGAGCCGGACGCTGCGGCTGGAGCTGGAGAGCCGCGGGGACGGGGGGGACATAGCGGCACCGCTCAACGCCAGCTGGTCCCACCAGCCCTTCCTGGTGGCCAAGGCGAAGGTGCGGGAGCCCGAGCACCGCGTGGCCAAGCGCAGCCTCCGCTGCAGCCCCAACTCCAGCCTGTGCTGCCGCAGGGACTATTACGTGGACTTCCGCGACATCGGCTGGAACGACTGGATCATTAAGCCCGAGGGCTACCAGATAAACTACTGCGTGGGCCAGTGCCCCCTGCACGTGGCAGGCAGCCCCGGGATGGCCTCTTCCTTCCACACGGCCGTCTTCAACCTCGTCAAAGCCAACAACGTGCAGGCGTCGGGGCATTCCTGCTGCGTCCCCACGCGGCGCCGCCCGCTCTCCGTCCTCTACTTCGATCGCAACAGCAACATCGTCAAGACTGACATTCCCGACATGATCGTTGATGCCTGTGGCTGTAGTTAGGGCTGGGGGAGCCGCGCTGGGACCCCCCTTCTCCAGGACTGTCTCTCTGGCGGAGGGGGAGGGAGCTGGAGAGCTCCCGGGAGCTGGAGCCAGCCCGTGGTGCAGTGGATCCCTTTGGGAAGGTTGGGAGGGAGGGAGAGGGTCTCGTGAGAGGGAGCAGGGGTTGCCTCCAGAGAGTGCCTGGGACAGGGGTCTTTGGGGACACGTGGGATGGAGCCAAGGCCATGAGACTGCCTGAGCCTGGCCTGTGGCTGGTGGTGACTCCGGGCATCTCCCTGGAGCTGGTCCCAAGCTGATCTCACATTCCTGGTGGTCGTGTCCCCCTCTGGTGTGGGGTGAGGGGCCCCTGCTTGGTTCACACTCAGTGCCCAGTGCTGGTCTGGAACTCGGCCTCCTCGGGAGCAGAGTGGGATGTGGGAACAGGTCTCCTTCCTCCACGTGGGCAGCTGGAGGACAAGGCAGCCCCACTTGTTTCCCGACTGGAAAAACCTTCCTGCATCCAATTCAGGCCTTTTTCTGGGACAGGTGGAACGGAGCACAAATAACAGGCCTGGGAGAGGAGGGTCAGTGGTGTGACTTCATCAAAACCCCAAACTAGCAATGACTGGACAATCTTCTGCTCCCTGGAGTGCAAGGAGCTGTGAGGGCCAAGCTTCCAGGTCCTGTGTGTTCCCCCTTTCCCTGGGTTTTCCTCCCCTGCTCCCACCCACCAGCCAGGTCTCCTCCAGCCTGGTGCCACCCTACAGGGAGTTCTGGCTCAGACTCTGCCTTTAAGATCACACTAAAGGTACAGATTTGGTTTGTGCCTCCAGTGTTGCAGCTATTCCAACTTTTTCAGTAGAGGTTCCTGCAGCCATCGGGACTCCTGGTGCTCCAACCTCTCTACTGAAGCTCCTGCTCTGCCCTCACCTTCCTGATGCACCCACATGGCCTATGCTTTAATTTATTATATAATATTTTGGTGTGGCTTCCCAAATAAATGGGTGGAAATGCAATATCCAGGCTCTGGCTGCTTTTTCCTGGGACCACCTGCATGGATGGGGTGGGGGAGAGGATCCTGCTTGGCCAGAAGGTCCCGGGTCCCTCAGGCTCTGGGGCTGGAGCAGCACAGGAGCTGCACGGTGATGCTGTACTGGGAGATGAGGGGAATTGTGGGGTTTTGGGGGCTCCCTGGGTGCAGAGGGGAGGGTTGGGATCTCCCCTGTGGATGGGAGTCCCAGGGATCAGGCGGGGGCTGGGAACCAGGTATCACCTCACTGGGGGCTGGAGAGGGGTGACCTGTAATGGGAGCAACCAAGCTGTGTCCCAGCAGGGCAGGTCCTGGGGGGCATTGCCCCACCTGGAGATTCTGTTCTCCACCTGGAGCAATCCCAAACAAAGCTCTGGAGGCTCTGGCTCCGGGCAGGTGACCTCAGACGCTGAGCCACAGCCCACCCCCAAATCCTGGGCCCCTACTGCAAATCCCCTGTGCCCCTCGTGTGCTCCCCTGAACACCACCCAGTGACCCCAGTCTCGGCCCCACTGCAGCCAGAGGGTCTGGTGGGTGACGGGGAGGCTCGTTTGGAATTCGGGTGGGATGCTCCCGGGGTGGGAGGTGTCCTTCATCCCGCTGAGATGCCACACACGCTGCCCCGGGGTCCCCGTTGCGCAAGCGCCCGCTCAAAGCTCACTTTGGGGCTGTTTTATCTGGGGACAAACCCCCCTCGCTTTCCCAGCTTGGCCCTGCCAGCGGCCAAAGGGCAGCTTTCATCAGCCAGCGCCGCGGGCATCCCCCCGGGGCACCGCGGCCATGGCCGCGCTCCCAAAATATCCCGGCGTGGGGAAAAGCCAACGGCACCTGCAGGACGCCTCGGCCCCCCCGGGCGCTCCCGCAGCCCCGGTCCGTGTCCCCGGAGCACGTGCTGCCCTGCACACGCCGGGAGATGGATCTCCGGGAGGCACCCGGGGTCGTGTGCGGTGTCCGGAGTCTCCCCGTTCCCTCCCCGGATCAGCGTTCCCGCGTGGAATCAGCGTCCGGGGCCGCGGGGAGCGTCCCCACCGGGACGCCACACCCGCGTTTTCCTTTGCCGGCAAGGGAAGCTCTCCTCTGTTTTCCCCGTGGCACCGAGTGCGTTCCCGTGGGTGGGGGGGTGTCCACGCGCGTGGACGTGAGGTGCTGACTCACTGACACACTGACACGCTGCCCCCGCGCCCGAGGTGCCGAGCTGGCTGCGGTGGCACCGCTAAATCCCTAAGCCGGGGGATCAGCTGGCCCTGCTCTGAGCCGCTTTGACTTTCCCAAACAGGAGACCGGGATTACCCGTGGGGTGGGGGACGCGGCGGGCTCGGGGGGCTGGGGGTTAAGGGCCGCTCCGGGTGGGGCTGCCCTGCTGTGGGTCGCACTCAGGGGCTCGGAGCTGGTGGCCAAAGGGACCTGGGGCCGTCTGGTCGCGCAGATGGTCCCGTGGGGAGAGGAGGGTGGGCTTGGGGTGAGTGCTCGGACCCCGGGCAGCTTATCCGGGGTCACACTCAGCTCAGGGGCAAAGCTGCTGAGCCGCTTAACGCTCGTTACAAAACGGGGATGGAGGCAGCCCCTCACCTGGGCCCACCCCCTCACCTGAGCCCGTCCCCTCACCTGAGCCCGTCCCCTCACCTGAACCCACCACCTCGCCCCCACCTCAGAGCCTCTGAGGTGGAACCCAAACCGTGGCAGAGTGTGGGGGCATCCAGAACCCCGCTGGCTGTTCCCCCCCCTTCCTGGCAGGGGAAAGGGGGGACCCTGCCGGCATTGCCACCTGCCCTGTGTGCCGGGGGCTTCCCGGGGAGCAGAGACCCCTCCTCACCCTCTCCGTGCTGGGGGAGCGGCAGGGGAAGGAGCTGATCTCAGGCTGGGACAGTGGGGAGGGAAACTGAGGCAGGGAGTGGATTGTGCGGGTCCCGGCTGGGAGCTGAGGGGTCCTCAAATCCTGTCCTACAGCGGTTCCCACGATGTCCCTCTGCCCCGGGGGTCCCGCGGCCGTGACGGGGGCCACGCCGTGAGGCCGCCCCGCGGTGCGTGATGGCGCGGGCAGGACGGGTCAGTGCCGGGGCCAGCAGAGTCCCCAGCGGGGTAATCCCGGTAAGCGGCTCCGGGCTCAGCGGGGAGCGCGGCCCCGTCACCTTCGCGGCTCGCCCCGGTCACCGGCGGCACCGGCGCGGGGAGCACCACGGGCCCCGCCCGCGGCCACCAGGGGGCGCTGCCCGGCCGTGCCCCCCCCCGGTCCAGCCCCGACCCCCCCCGGGCCCCCCCGGGTGCGTGGGACGGGACCCCCGAGCGTGTGTGGGCTCTGCCTCCCGCCTGGGCTCGGGGGTGTTCCCTCCACGCGTGTGCGGGCTGCAGGGGATGATCCGTGCGCGGGCCGTGCCCCCCCCGCGTGTGCGTGGGCTGGTGGCCGTGCCCCCCCCGCGTGTGCGTGGGCTGGGGGGGGTGCCCCCCGTGGGTGTTTGGGCTGTGCCCGCCGCGTGCGGGCTGCAGACCCTGCGTGTGCGTGGCCGTGCTTCCTGACTGCGTGTGGTGCTCCCCGCGGCTGCGTGGGCTGGGGGGGTGCCCCCCCCGTGTGTGTGTGTGTGTGTGCTCTGCCCCCCACACGTGCACGTGCTGTGCCCCCCGCGCGTGTTTGGGCTGTGCCTCCTCCGTGTGCGTGGGCTTTGGGGGGTCCCCTCCCCGCGTGCGTGGGCTGCGCTCCCCGCGTGTTCGTGTGTGTGTATCCTGTGCCCCCCGCGGGTGCGTGTGAACGGGCCGTGTCCCCCGCCGCGGGCTGGCGTGGGGCGTGACCCCGCGTGTGCGCGGGCTGCGTCCCGCGTGGATGCGGGGTCGGCGTCTGTCCCCCTCCGCGTGTTCACGGGCTGTGCCCCCCGCGCGTGTTTGCGCCGCGCCCGCAAGCGAGCGCCGAGCGCCGGCGGGTGCGCGTGTCCGCGTTTACACGCGCGGTCCCTCACACGGGTGGGCGCAGCCGCGTGAGCGCGCGGGGCCCCCCGCGAGCGTGCGGGACCCGCGGTTGCGCGCGGGGACGCGCGTGGGGTGCCCGCCGGCCCTCGGCGAGCGTGCGGGAGCGGTGCGCGCGTGGGGGGGGGAGGGGGGGTGCGCGCGGGCGCGGGGCCGTGCGTGTCCCGGATCCATCCCGGGTTTTCGGGGCCGCCGCTCCCGGCCGGGGTCTCCGTCCCGGGCGCGATCGGCGCCGCCGCCGCAGTCGGAGCGGGACCCGCCGGGACCCGCCGCCCCCGCCGCCCTCCGGTAACTTTCTCCGGGCGCCCGGGGCGGGCCGGGGGAGCGCGGGGGGAGCCGTCCCGTCCCGTCCCGTCCCGCCCCAGCCCGGCAGCCGCCGTCCCCCCCTGGATGTGCCGCTTCCCTCGCAGACCGAACCGCCGCCGCCGCCGGGGGAACGGGGGACGCGGAGCCGCCGGAGCCGCCGCCCCGCCTGGGTCCGCTCGGAGCCCCCCGGAGGTAGGAGCCGTCGGGAGGGTCCGGGCCGCGGGAGCTCCGCTCCCGGGATGGCGCCGATCCCTCCGCGGGCCGTCCCGCGAGCTCCGGGGGGGGGGGAACCGGGACCTCCACCGGGGCTCCCGGCGGGGGGGACCGGCCACGCGGGGCGGGCGGAGGGGATCGGCCCCACGCGTGCCCCGTCACGTCCCCTCGTGCTCCCGCCCACGCCCGCACGCTCCCGCCGCGCTTTGAGCTCCCGGTGGGTGGCTGGGTGGGTCGGTGTGTGTGGGTGGGCTGGGACGGCCGCGCCGGGCCGGTGGAGCCCCCGGCAGCCCGCGGAGGGGAGGCTGGCTCGGGACTGGGGGCTACTGGGGGCTACTGGGGGCTGCCGGCTCGGTCCGGACTGGGGCTGTTGGACCGGGAGCAGCGACCGGGTGGAAGTTGCTGCCCCGGCCCCGGTGACGCAGCAGCCGCAGGACCGTCCCGGGGGGCTGTGCCAGCTGTGCCACCCACCCTGCCAGCCCCAGGCCACCCTGAGCCTCGTATCCCACCAGCCGGGGTGTCCGCAGGGCTCCGGCACCCACCTCGCGGGCCCCCGCACCCGGGAGCTTTGGCAGGGCACGGGGGCGGCCCCGCGGCCAGAGCGGCCGGAGGGACCCCACCGGCAGCGCCCGCTGTTCCCGGGGCCCTGGCGCAGCTCCGAGGGGTTGGCGCGGGGACAATGGGTGTCCCCGGTCCCCTGATGTCCTGCCAGGCCGTGAGGTGGCACCGAACGCTGCGGTGACGGCCTGGGGGCTGCGCCTCTCCGGGGAGGATGGGGCTGGAGAGGACAGAGCTGGGGGATGGCTGTGGAATTTGGGGGACACCCAGCACTGCGGTGACAGTCTGGGGGCTGCACCTCTCCTGGGAGGATGGTGAGGGCGGAGGGGACGGGGCTGAGGGATGGCTGTGACATTCCAGTGCTGTTTGGGGACTGAGAAACCACTGGGTGCTCCAGCCACGGCTGGGGTCCTGCACCCAGCCCTGGAAGCAGTCTGGGGGCCCGGCAGATGCTGCTGGATACTCTGATTCCATGAGTTTCCCCCCCTCTCTGCTCCACAGGCTGCGTGTGGCAAACCTGAGCCGATGGATGCGGGTGGGCACTGGGTTTTGGGGGAAGGGAAGAGGAAGCAGCTGGATGAAGTTTCTCCTTCAGAAATTCAGCCCTAGGAAAACTTTCTCAGTTTTCCTGCTGCATCCAGCCGACGCTGCCTCTGTGGGCGACAGGGAATGGCTGCCTGGGGGGGATCCTCACGTCCCCCCTCCATATTCCAGGGTCTTTTCCGTCACAAAGCCGAGCACAAAGTCAGGAGCAGGTTGGGAGCCGAGCGTCTCCGGGCCCCCAGGGCTGGTCTGGTGGGAGGTGGTGGAACAAACTCGGTGCTGGAGCTGGCTGAGCTGCGAGGATCTCCCTGGAGCAGGGAAGTTTCCATCCCGGGAGTGAGTCAGCGCGGACACCTTGTGACGCCGTCCGGGTGGGACAGGCTGTGGGGAGGCGGCTGCGGAGCTCGGGCTCCGAGTGGGATCCGTGGCTCGCTGTCCAGAACCTGGGAATTTGCACCACGTTAGGTTTGGGTTGGATATTAGGGAAAATTCCTTCCCTGAAAGGGCAGTCGGGCGCTGGAACAGGCAGTGGTGGAGTCGCCGTCCCTGGAATTGTTCAGAAAACATGTGGATGTGGCACTTGGGGACATGGGGCAGGGGTGGCCCTGTCAGTGCTGGCCTAGTGGTTGGACTCGATGATCTTGGAGGGCTTTTCCCGACCTTAATGATTCCATGATTCCCTGATTCTGAGGGTGGATAGGCTGGAAAACACGAGGGCCCTTCGGTCAGTGCTCCTGCCGTGAGTGACACCCACAGTGCCAGCCCCTTATCCCTGGGAACGCTGCTCTTCCCACCACTCCAACCTGCTGCACGTGTGTGCACACCCTGCACATCCCCACACCCGCACAGGTGCCCCCTGTACACGTGTGTACACGTGTGTACACATGTGTTCCCGTGTGTACGTGTGTGTTCCCATGTGTACACGTGTGTTCCCATGTGTACACATGTGTTCCCGTGTGTACATGTGTGTTCCCATGTGTACACGTGTGTTCCCATGTGTACACGTGTGTTCCCGTGTGTACATGTGTGTTCCCATGTGTACACGTGTGTTCCCGTGTGTACATGTGTGTTCCCGTGTGTACGTGTGTGTTCATGTGTGTACACGTGTGTTCCCATGTGTACACGTGTGTTCCCGTGTGTACATGTGTGTTCACATGTGTACATGTGTGTTCCCGTGTGTACATGTGTGTTCCCATGTGTACACGTGTGTTCCCGTGTGTACATGTGTGTTCCTGTGTGTACACGTGTGTTCCCGTGTGTACACGTGTGTTCCCATGTGCACACGTGTGTTCCCGTGTGTACCTGTGTGTTCCCGTGTGTACCTGTGTGTTCACGTGTGTACCTGTGTGTTCACGTGTGTACGTGTGTGTTCCCGTGTGTACATGTGTGTTCCCATGTGTACACATGTGTTCCCGTGTGTACATGTGTGTTCCCATGTGTACACGTGTGTTCCCGTGTGTACGTGTGTGTTCATGTGTGTACACGTGTGTTCCCATGTGTACACGTGTGTTCCCGTGTGTACACGTGTGTTCCCATGTGTACATGTGTGTTCCCGTGTGTACCTGTGTGTTCACGTGTGCACGGCTCAATCCCGCGCTCGTGGTGGGATTTTTGGGGGTCCCCGCCCAGGGCCAGCAGTTGGATGGCTGGTCACGAGGCTGAGGGTTCCCGACGGGAGCAGAGCGAGTGTGTGCCCACCTCAGTCCCTCTGGCACATCCCAGCCCTTGGGAAGCTGCAGGATAACGAGGGGAACAGCTGATAAAATAAAAGGAAAGAGCTGCCTCGGAGTGGGAACGAGCGGCAAAGCAGAGTCGGGTTTCAGCTCTGCTGTGTCCGGGGTGAGGCTGGGGGGTGTTTCCAGATGTGGAAGCCCCACTGTCCAACTCCCAGCCCGGATTTAGGGAAAGAGAGCCCTGTCTGGTGCCCCCAGGGGGGCAGAGGACGTCCTCAGGGGGATGGGGTTGCTCTGTGGGGACAGAGTAGGTCTCCAGCCAAGGAACAGGCCACCATCACTCGGGGCAGATACTTCAGGAGAGACAAATGTATCCCAGCAGGAGAAGGATGGCTGGGGATTTCGGGAACAGCCCAAGGACACTCATTCCACCACCTCTCAGCAGACAGAGGGGTCTCCTGCCCCAGGAAGCTCCCTAAATCCCCAAGGGTGCTGCCTTGCTCCGTGCTCAGCACATCAAGCCACAGGCATTTCCACAGATTAACAGGATTCCTGTCATATATCCCATCCTTTAATGGATGCCGGAGTCCCTGCCGGGTCCTGCACATCCTCCTCTTCCCATCTTTGGAGGGATCCTGCAGGACAGAGCTGCTGGAGTGGGAACAGGCCCAGTGTGAGTCCCCTGACTGCAGCAGGAGGATGGATTCCGCTGCCTGCCCTGTCCGAACTCCGACCCCTCGGGATGGCAGGATGGGCAGGATGTCCCCAGCCCCTGCGTCCCTCGGTGCTGGCATGGGATGATGCTCGATGCCATGGGAAGGAGCAGGGCCTGCCAGGGGGGCTCCCACAGCCGTGACTCAGAGCTTTTATGGGTCCCACATGTTCCGTGTTGCTGCTTCCCTCCAGCGCTGGGGAGGAAGAGGGAGGCATAAAAATTCCTTGTAGCAGCTGCTGCCGTGCGTGTGCCCCCCTTGCCCTCACCCCAAAACCTTTTCCCCACCCGGCCTGGTGAAGGTGGGGGTCGGGAAGTGGCTGTAGGGGAGGGATTTGGGGGGCAGCGTGTGCTGGGGGCCAAAGCAAACAACGCACAGCGACGGTCGCCCGCCTGCCCAGGGACCACCTATGGAGCCCCCCCCGCCCCTGCCCGGCCTGCCCCGGCCTCCTGAGCGGTTCTGCTGTGCTGGAGGGCCGGGGGTCCCTCCTGCCCGGGGGGAACAGGAGCCTGCAGCCCCCCTCCGTGGGTTATCCCTGCCCTGGCTCCGCAGGATCGGGCTGCCTGCCCTCCCCTTGCCGAGGCACACGTGTGGCAGCCTGTGTTCCAGCCTGTGTTAACGTGTCCGGGGACGTGTCAGGGCACGGCCCCGGGTGGGTGTGGGTGCCCGCGGGAGCGAGGGGTGGATGGGTTTGCCCCCTGAGCTGCGGCGTTGGGGTGCTGGGGGACACCTGGAGGGGTGAGTGGCCCGGGGAGGGACCTCCTGTCCTCCCTGGGAGTGGTGCGAAGGGCAGGGAAGAATTTCGGGATCAGGTGGGGAATGAGGACTTGTGACGGGGCCGGGGGAGGGCGGATGGAGCGGGGGATGTCCCGAGCCTGTCCTGGCAGGGACGTCTCTGCCCCTTTCCCTCCACGTTCCCCGAAGCTGCTTCTTCCCCTTCTCAGCTTTTCCAGGCCAGGGACCACCTTGGAACGAGCTCAGCAGCCCCCACCAGCATGGGATCATGACCCTGAGTCGTCCCCTTTCAGACCCCCTGAACCTGAAGCGATGTGCTTTGTGGGGCCGTGGGCCTGGCCAGATTAGCTGCCCCATGCAGAGGGGCTGGGCTGGCCCTAAAGCCCGGCCTAAGGGGGGGTCAGGGGTGGCAGGTGGGGGGTCTGCACGTTGCTTCTGCTGGAGGCCGAGTCCAGAAACGTGTGGGGTCAGGGGAAGCAGCTCTGAGCACAGCCTGGGGGCCTGGGGCAGGGAAAAGGGGCTTGTTCCAGGGGGGCATCTCCCTGCTGTGCAGCACCGGGGGGACATCCCAGCTGGGAGGAGTGGGGTGACCCTGCCAGGCCCCCCTGTCCTGGCAGGGAGCTGGGACGTGTCCCCGTGGTCCTGGACTGTCGCTGGCAAGGGGGAGCTGGAAGGTCTCTGCCAGCCACGAGACTTGCAGCCCAGGGGTGGGGTCGGGCTCAGGGGTTGGGGTTGGGTGATCTTGGGGCTGCCAGGGGTGGCTGTGCCCATGGTGGGCTGGGGGGGTTACCTACTCCGGGGGAGACACTGCCTCTCCTGAGGGGGTGAAAAGGGTACAAAGGGGTCTTCAGGGGTGTGTCCCCACCCTGGCCCCTGCCACACCACCACGCCCTGCTCTCTGTCTGCCTCTTCTCCCTGCTCTGGCCCTCCCTCGCTCCTCCCTCAGTGAGGATTTGGGGTGACTGGGCCCTCCCTTGGCTGTTGGAGCTCCCCCCCCACACACACACGTGCACATCCCACATGTGTGCACATCCCACATGTGTGCACATCCCACATGTATCCGTGAGTCCAAACACTCCAGGGCTGTCAGTGCCCACGTGTGTCTCCCTCCTTCCCACAGTCTCTCTCCCACCATTTCGGGGGGTCTCCGCTCCCACCACCCCTCGGTGTCACCAGGCTGGCATTGCCCCCCAGAACAACTGCCCCGTGACCCCAGACGCCGGGGCACACACACAGACACACAGAGAACATGTGTGCTCACACACAGACACACAGAGAACATGTGTGTTCATGCTGCACACACACAGACACACAGAGAACACATGTGCGCACACAGACATGCAGAGAACATGTGTGCTCACACATAGACACACAGAGAACACGTGTGTTCATGGTGCACACACACAGAGAACACGTGTGCACACACACAGACATGCAGAGAACACATGTGTTCATGGTGCACACACACAGAGAACACGTGTGCACACACGCAGACACACACAGAACACATGTGTTCATGGTGCACACACACAGACACACAGAGAACACGTGTGCACACACACAGAACACGTGTGTTCACACAGGCCCCGACAGCAGCACGGCTGCCCCACGCACGCAGCCCCCCCGGGCCCCCCCGGCCCCCCACGCCGGGGGCTGTGCCGGCGGGTGATGGATTGTGCCACACACAGCTCCGGGCCCGCGGGGGCTAATCCAGCCCTGACATCACATTCCTCCCCAGTGGGGCTCCGGGGAGGGTTAACCCTGCCGGGGCTGGGGGCTCGGGGACCCCCCGTCACCCCCGGGGGCTGGGCTGGGGGGGGGGCCCTGCTGGACCCACCCCTGCACCCACCGCCGCGGGTGGGGGGGAACAGGAGCGTTCCCGGCGCGGGTGGGACCCGGGGTGGGGTCTGCAGCGTCACGGGGAGACGGGGCGGGTGGTCTGCCCCACCCCGGGGTGCAGTGGGGTGCCAGGGTGGGGGGCTGCCCCGTCACAGGGTGGGAGGCCATCCGTGCCCACTCCTGCCTCTCCCTCCTTCCCACCGGCCCTGCTCCATCACCCGGCACCGGGGAGGTCTCTCTGCTCCCACCACCCCTCACTTTTGGGGCCTCTCTGCTCCCACCACCCCTCACTTTTGGGGCCTCTCTGCTCCCACCACCCCTCGGTGTCACCGTCCCCACGCTGTCCTGCGCCGCGAGCTCCCTCCATCCCCTTTCCCCCCCTGCCTTCTCCTCCTCCGTCTCCTTCCCTCTCCCCCCCACCCCGTTCCCCAGTGTCCTCAGGAAACTGGAGCCAGATGACAGATTTTAGATGTGTTTGCAGGAAATAAAAGGCGAGGAGCTGGGGGGGAGGGGGGCGGCCAGCCCTGACCCCCCTCCCGCGCCGCGTTTCGGCGTCTGGAGCCAGCCCTGCTCCGAGAGCTCCCGCCGCTGGCTGCGCTCCTGGTTTTCTTGGCAGAGAGGAGCAGGAATGTGTTTCAGTTTGAGTTTCTTGGCAGGAGGAGAGCGAGGGAAGATTCCCCTCATCCCGCCTGCGCCTGGCTCTCAAATTTATGCCCAAAGGCTGCGACTTGGGTGGGCCGTGGCGGTGTGCGGCCGGCGGGGGAGGCGAGCGCGGCGGTGGGCGAGACGCCGGATGGTTCCCATTGCTTCCCGTTGCTTCCCATTGGCTCCCGGCCTTCCCGGCCCCATCCAGCCCCCTCGGCTCGGGGCGGGCCGCCGGCCTTCGGGGAGCCCCTGCGGACCCCAGGAGTCGGGGGGAGCGTCCCGGGGCCCGGTGGGGTTCGGGTGGGTTTGGTGCTGTGCAGCCCCCCGGTGTCCTGTGCCAGTGCTCGGTGGGGGGATGTGGGGGACTGGGGGGTCGTGGCACTGCGTCGCACCCACCTGACGCCCTCCTGGCACCCGCCTTGCCAGGCTGGCTCTGCTCACCAAACCTCTCCCTGCCTGCACCCAGCGGTGCCTCGGCACGGTGAGACCCTCACCCATCACTGCACCTCGGTGGGTGTGGGGCACCAGAGCCCCCAAAACCTGCCCCCGGGGGGCACAGGAGGTGCTGGAGGGGGCACAGGGGGAACACAGCCCCAGGCAGGGAGGTGGTGTGGGAACTGGGGGTGCTGAGGTGCTGCACGTCCGTGTGTTCCCCACGTGAGGTGACACGCCGTGCACATGTGTGTGCTCCGTGTGCTCCGTGTGCCAGGCCCTGGAAGTGCCCTCCAAGGCCAGCTTGGACTGGGCTTGGAGCACCCTGGGCTGGTGGAAGGTGTCCCTGCAAGCCCCCCCCCCCAGGTCTGTGGAGTTGGGGGGTGGGTGCAGCCCCCTCTCCCTCTGTGCCCGCCGTTGGCCTGGCAGGGTGAGGGGTCAGGCAGGAGCTCCCCTGGGGCTAATCCCCAAACTTTCCTGTGAGGCCCAGGGTCCAGCGGGCAGGTGAGACCCCCCCCTCCTCTGCCCCCTGGTTCCTCCTCATCTCCCGTTCCCCCTTTCCCTCCCCAGTTCCACCACGGTCCCGGGCAGCCCCCTCCCCTCTGCCTGCCCCGCTGCCCCCCCCCCATTCTTCCTGCCTGACACTCTCACAAAGCCCCGAGACGAGCTTTCAAAGGGGCAACTCATGCGGAAGAATTGCCGCCCCCCTCGCCCCCCCCTGCTCCAAACGCGACCCAGCACTTTTCCCAGCGGGGTGAGGGGCTCCCACTCCCCCAGACCCCTCGTTTGGGGCGATTCCCTCCGTCTCAGAGGGGGAGGCTGAGGGGGCAGGAGCCCTTGTCCCCAGTGCCACCCACATCTGCCTCGTCCTGCGGTGGCTTCTCCTGCTCCTCTGTCCTTCGTGTCAGCCCTCGGGGGTCTCGGGGCGGGACAGGGACCGGGGTGGGGCGGTGGAGGGGTGGGGGGCAGGACACGGCCGTGAGAAGGAGCGGATGAGGGACAGGCTGGTGGCTGCGGGTGGGGATGGGGCTGGGGGGCAGGACGGTGACCTGGGGGTGGATCGGGGGCAGGACGGTGGCCCTGGGTGGGGGTGGGACCGGGCTCAGGGCAGGACCTCAGGGATCCACGGTGGGCTGGGCTGAGCCCCTGGGCAGGGGCACGGTGTGTGGGTGGGACCAGGGCAGGGTGGGGACCCGTGGGCAGGGTGGGGACCCGCGGGCAAGGCAGGGCTGGGTGGGACCTGTGGAGGATCCGCGGGGAGAGAGGAGCGGGGAGCCAGCTCCGGTCCTCGGCCCGGGAATGGTTCCAGCTGTGCCTCGTTTTCCCATTTCGTAGAATCCCGGGATGGTTTGGGGTTGGAAGAAACCGTCAAGCCCATCCAGTCCCACCCCCTGCCCTGGGCAGGGACACCTTCCACCAGCCCGGGCTGCTCCAAGTGTCCAAGCTGGGCACTCCCAGGGATCCAGGGGCAGCCACAGCTCCCCTGGGCACCCCGTGCCAGGGAGGAATTTCTTCCCAACACCCCCAAATCTCCCCTATTTTAGTTTAAATCACCCCGGGGGGGTGGGGGGGTCTCCGCTCCCGGGGGGGGTCCCGCGTCCTGTGGCGCCCCCTGGCGGCCAAACCCACTCCGCCTTCCCCCCCCCCGTCCCTCCCCACAGCCCCCCGGGCCCCGCCGCCGCCCCGATGCGCCCCTGAGACCCCCCCCGGGCCCCACCGAGAGATGTTCGACCCCGCCGGACCCCCGGCCGCCGGCTACAGCGAGCACTGCTGCCTGCGCCCCCCCCACGTGCCAGCCCCCGCCGCCCCGGGACCACCAGGTGGGTCATACGGGGGGGCCCAGGCTCTGCCTTCACCCCCCCAGGGTCAGGGGTGCTCCGGGGGTCCCTCTGTCCCGTCCAACTCATCTGTCCTCCCTCCTCCAGGCCTCGATTTCCCCGTGTGCCACCAGCCCGGGCACCGCGGGTATGGGCTGGCACCAGGGGCCGAACACCCCGGTGATGGTGAGTGTCCGGTTTTGGGGGGGCCGTGGGGGTTTCACGGGGGGGCTCGGCGTCTCTTTTCTCCTAAATCCAGAGCGAACTGGCCCGCTCAGGTGTGTGTCCCTGGGGGGGGGTGCTCAGCCCCCCGCTGAGGGCGGTGCCCCCCGCTCTGCCCTCCCAGGCTCCCGGTTCTCCACGCCCCGCGGCGCGGGGAAGCTGGGGAAGAAGCGGGCGCTGTCCATCTCCCCCCTGTCCGACTCCAGCATCGACCTGCAGACCGTGATCCGAACCTCTCCCAACTCCCTCGTCGCCTTCATCAACTCCCGCTGCGCCTCCGCCGGCGGCTCCTACGGGCACCTCTCCATCAGCACCATCAGGTGGGCACCTGCCCTCAGACCCCCGCGGGTGGGAGCCTGGCCCGGAGCCCGAGTGCCCCTTCCCACCTCGGGGAGTGCCTGGAGAGCCGGGGGCCGGGGTGTTTGCTCACGGAGCCCTCAATCCTGTCCCCTGACGGTGTCACCCACTCGTCCCTTTGCTCTCCACAGCCCGTCCCTGGGGTACCAGAGCCCACCCGGGCAGCAGAAGGGCCAAGGTCACCTGTACACACCCCCCCCTCCCTGCAGCTCCCACGAGCCCCTGCCCACACGCCCGGGGCTACTGCACCACCCCCCTGCTCGTGGGGCCCTCAAACACTGCCAGGTGAGGAGGGGGATCCCTGTGGGCCGGGGATCCGTGGGAGCCGTGTCAGCCCTGGGCATCCCTGTCGTTGGGGCATCCATGGGGGGGTGTATCCCTGTAAGGATGCATCCCCCGAACCACATTCCGGAGGGAATCTCGGTGCTGACCCCTCCCTGCTCTCCTGGCCCCAGCAGCAGCTGAAGCTGGAGTGGAGCCTGAGCAGCCCCCTGACTGCCAAATTCCCAGAGGAGCGATCCGAGGGTGACATCTCCAGCCCGGCGTCCACGGGCACCCAGGTACGTCCCGGGCTGGGGGACCCCCCCCCCCACGTCCCCGGGGCTCCACAGTCCCAGCACCGCTCCCGTGGGTGCTCACCTGGAGAACTCACCTGGCCGTGCTCCCCCAGGACCCCCTGCTGGGGATGCTGGATGTCCGGGAGGAGCTGGAGAAGGAGGACGGGAAGGCCGAGTGCGAGGCCGTGTACGAGACCAACTGTTACTGGGACGGCTGTGCCAAGGAGTTCGACACGCAGGAGCAGCTGGTGCACGTGAGTCGGGGGCTGCCGGGGTGCCCCCACCCCAAAATCTGCCCTCGGGCTGCCCTGTGTGACGCCCCCCCGGAGCAGCCCACGATTCCTGCTCCCAGTTCCCACCACCTGCCCCGGGGACTCACCGTGATGCTGAAAGTCGCTCCCTGGGCAGGGAGGGATGTGCATCCTCCTCCTCAGCCGCTTCCAGACTCCCTCCTTTGCTCCAGCTCTCCTTCCCCAAAATCTCCTGTATCCCCCTGACCACCCTTAAGCCTCTGTGACCCCTCTGTGACCCCTCTGCTCCCGGCCCTTCCGAAGTAGCCCCCAAACATCCCCTGTGTCCTCTGTCTCCTCCAAACACCACCTGACCTGTCTTCCCCAGACTCGGGTGTCTCCACCCGCTATCCCAGTCCCTTTATGTCCCTTCCTGCCATCCCAGTCCCTCTACATCCCTTTCTCCCACGATGTTCCTGTATCTCCCTGTCCCTTGTCCCCCTCCCCGGTGCCACCAGTGACGCCCCTCTCCCTCCTCAGCACATCAACAACGAGCACATCCACGGGGAGAAGAAGGAGTTCGTGTGCCACTGGGCAGCCTGTTCCCGGGAGCAGAGGCCCTTCAAGGCTCAGTACATGCTGGTGGTGCACATGCGGCGTCACACGGGCGAGAAACCTCACAAGTGCACGGTGAGATGCCCAAAATCCCTCAGAAATGCTCGGTGAGCCGGGAAAACGGGGGGTGAGAGGGTGGAATAGGAGCGGGTCCGTGTGTGGCAGGCGGGATGCGTGTCCGGGGTGGACGTGCCGTGGGTGGGGTGGGGGGTGACGTGTCCCACCCCGCTCTCCCGCAGTTCGAGGGCTGTAACAAGGCCTATTCCCGCCTGGAGAACCTCAAGACTCACCTGCGCTCGCACACGGGGGAGAAACCCTACGTGTGTGAGCACGAGGGCTGCAACAAGGCCTTTTCCAACGCCTCCGACCGCGCCAAGCACCAGAACCGCACCCACTCCAACGAGGTACGGCCCCACCTCGGGCTCCTCTGCGTCGCTCCCGCCCTCCAACAGCTCCCCACATCCCTCCTTTTCAACCCTGTGCGCCCCAACTCCCTCTTTGCCTGCTCTAAATGCCCCCTCGGTCACCGGCATTCCCGCCGGGATCCCTTTATCCCGCTCCTGGGGAGCCTCCCTGAGCTCACCCACCGAGGGGACTCACCCGAGGGCACTCCCCCTCTTTGATCCAGAGGGAAGGGGAGGGGGTTTTGCTTTAGGGGAGGGGGCTGTGGTCGGAGCTGACCCCGCTCCGTGCCCGCCGGTGCTCCCGGGCAGAAGCCGTACGTGTGCAAGATTCCCGGCTGCACCAAGCGCTACACGGACCCCAGCTCCCTGCGGAAACACGTGAAGACCGTGCACGGCCCCGACGCCCACGTCACCAAGAAGCACCGGGGGGACGTGGGGCCGGGCCGGGCGCTGCCCACCCCCAGCGCCCCCCTGGACATGAAGCAGGAGAAGGACACGAACGGCCCCGGCGAGGCCCGGAAGGACGACGGGAAACTCCTGGTGCCCGACCTGGCCTTGGTGAGGAGCTGGGGGGGGGTGGTGGTGGTGGGGGGTCACCCCCGGGTGATAGTGCAAGAGGAAACAGCCTCAAGTTGTGCCAGGGGAGATTTAAGTCGGATGTATCAGGGAAAGTTTCTTTGTGGAAAGGGTTGCCAGGCGTCGGAAGGGGCTGCCCAAGGGAGTGGTGGAGGGCCCATCCCTGAAAGTGTTCAGGAATCGTGTGGATGTGGCACCTGGGGACGTGATTAGTGGTGGACGTGGCAGTGTTGGGTTAATGGTTTGACTCGGTGGTCTCAGAGGCTTTTCCAACCTCAATGATTCCCTGATTCCAAGCGTAGTGACCCCCTCTCCCTCGGTCCCCGCTCTGCTCCCCCCAGAAGCCGCAGCCCAGCCCGGGCGGGCAGTCGTCCTGCAGCAGTGACCACTCGCCCCTGGGCAGCACCACCAACAACGACAGCGGCGTGGAGATGGCAGGGAACGCTGGTGGCAGCTACGAGGACCTGTCCACGCTGGAGGACGTGGTGCCCGGGGAGCCCATGGGCACCTCGGGGCTCATGGCCCTCCACAAGCTGGAGAACCTTCGCATCGACAAACTGAAGCAGCTGAGGAAACCCGCGGCTTCCAAGGGCCTGAACCTGCCACCCATCCCTGGAGCCGGTGAGCCCGGGGTGCCCTCCCACTGGGGTGAGGGAGCCATCCCATGGGAACTGCGTGGAGAGCTCTGGGGGGCAGCCAGAGGGTTCCAAACGTTCCTGTTATTAGTGGCGAACCCCACTGTGCTCTGGGGAGACCTTGGAGCCCCTTCCAGTGCCTAAAGGGGCTCCAGGAGAGCTGGAAAAGGACTTTGGACAAAAGCCTGGAGTGCCCGGACAAGGGGGAGTGGCTTCCCACTGCCAGAGGGGAGGGTGAGATGGGATACTGGGGACAAGTTCCTCCCCGGGAGGGTGGGGAGGCCCTGGCATGGCTTGCCCAGAGGAGCTGTGGCTGCCCCAGCCCTGGGAGCGTTCAAGGTCTGGTTGGAACAACCTGGTCTAGTGGAAGGTGTCCCTGCCCAGGGCAGGGGGTGGAACTGGATGGTCTTTAAGATCCCTCCCAACCCAAACCATTCCAGGATTCAACGATCTCTCCAACCTAAATGAGCCTCTGCCCCTCTTTGTTGCCTGCTCTGGAACCTTCTCCCTGTCCTCGCCGGGGTCTGACCAGGGAAGAGCCACATCCCGCGGGGTAACTCCTCCTTCTCTCCCCCAGGCCTGCCCGGGGAGGTGCCCGGGCTCCCGGTGCCCCCCCCGGCCTCTCACCGGCGCATCGCGGAGCTGTCGGCGGCGGAGCTGGGGCTGGTGGCCCTGGGCGAGCGCCGGAGCAGCGGCACCAGCACCGTCAGCTCCGCCTACACCGTGAGCCGCCGCTCGTCCCTGGTGTCCCCGTACCCGCCGTGCCCGGCCGAGGGGGCGGCGATGCCCGGCGGGCCGTGCCCGGCCGACGGCTACGACCCGACGGCCTCTCCCGACGAGTCGCGGCGCTCCAGCGGCGCCGGCCCGTGCGGGGCCCTGCCGGGGGTGGGCAACCTCACCCCGGCCCAGCGCTACCGCCTCAAGGCCAAATATGCCGCGGCCACGGGCGGGCCCCCCCCGACCCCTCTGCCCGGCGTGGAGCGGGCGGCCCCGGGCGGCCCCGTGCCCGCGGGATACCCCGGGCCCCGCTGCGTGCCCAACGGGCTGCCGCGAAGGCACAGCTCCAACGACCGCCCCGGCTACCCGGGCGCCGTGCCCCCTCGCCTGGTGCCCCGGCACGGCGTCCGGCGGGCGAGCGACCCCGCCCGGACCGTGGCCAAGCCTCCGGCCGTGCCCAGGGTGCAGCGGTTTAAGAGCGTGGGGAACGTGAGCGCGCCGGGCGCGGGCAGGACGGCGCTGCAGCCCCTGGGCGGCTCCGAGGCCAACCTGCAGCGCCACAGCTTCTCCCCCCGGCCCCCCAGCATCACCGAGAACGTCTTCCTGGAGAGCGTGGGGGGCCCCGGCCCCGAGCCCGGCCTGCTGGAGATGGAGCAGTACCTGAGCTATCCCGAGGAGAGCTTCCCGTGCCCCGGCGTGGAGCTCCAGGGTGGCATCTACGGCGCTCAGCGGACCATGGGGGGCACGCCCGGGGACATGGAGGAGGGGCTGCTGCAGCCCGAGTTCTCCCTCCCGCAGTGCCAGATGAACCAGCACTTCCCCAGTTTGCCAGCTGGGAATGGGGCCATGCCAGTGCCTTGGGAAGGACCCGCCCCGGGCACGCTGGACATGAGCTCCGGGCAAAGCGTCGCCGCCACCGTGTCCGGGCCACACTGTCCCCATCAGAGCACCGAGTACCCCCACGCCAGTTCCTGTGGGCAGCACCCCAAACTGGCGAGCTCGTGCCAGGACGGCGGATTTCCCGGGGGGCACCGCTCTTACCGACTGCAGATCAAATCCGAGCAGCGATACCCGGCGCCCGCCCCAGCACTCGCTCCCTGCCCCGGCGCCAAACTGGCCGGGCCCCCGCTGCCCCCCCCGGCCTTTGGCCACGCCATGGACGTGGGGCCGGGCGGGTACCCCCCTGCGGGACCGGCGCCGGGCGGGTACATGGGCATCGCCAGCCCGGGCGCCCGCAGAGCCCAGACCCCCACCCTGCAGACCAAAGAAGTGATGGTCCGGAGCTACGTGGAGGCCCAGCAGGCGCTGATGTGGGGGGAGCAGCCCCCCTCCAAGGGAGGGGCACCTGGCACGGGGCTGGGCGGCGAGCCCGGGCAGTGCCAGGCCGTGCCGGCACCGCCGTACGGCAGCCCCAGGTACTGCGGGTACCAACCCAAACCCGATCACCTGCAGGGCCTGGCGGAGCCCCAGCACCTCCTGAGCCCCCCGTGCTTCAACCCCGAGATGGTCCCACACCCCCCAGGTGGCCCGAAGCCGCCGGGTCACCCGAGCGGCCTGAGTTACAGCCTGGCACAGCCGGGGCCCGGCTACGACGGGGTGGACACCAACTCCCGGCACCTGCTGCGCTTACCCCCCGCCCGCCCCGTGCCCGAGGGGCCTGGCAACCCCCCGGGGTACTACCCGGGCCAGAGCACCCACGGGCAGGTGGGCAAAGGCGGGCACAAGCTGCTGGGCCACGTGGCAGCGAGCTGTGGGGGTCCCGGGCACTACGGCGGCAGCTCGGAGGGACTCAAAGGCACCTCCTGTTACTACCTGGACTCGGGGGAGCAGGTGGCCAACAGCCTCGACTCCCTGGACCTGGAGAACACGCACCTTGACTTCGCTGCCATCGTGGAGGACGAGGAGCCCCCCCCGGCGCTGCCCGGCCCCCCCAGCCCGGCCGGGGGGCTCCTGCTGCCCTCGCCCGGGGGTGCCAACATGGCAGTGGGGGACATGAGCTCCATGCTGAGCACACTGGCAGGGGAGAGCCACTTCCTCAACTCCCTGTCCTGAAACCAGGGGGACCTGCCCTCAGGTGGCACCTCCGTGACCTGGGGGGGGGCCCAACCCGTTGGGGCAGAGCCGTGAATCCTCCTCACACACGGGTTTGTGCCCTGGGGGGGGACGGGGAACCCCCCTGGACCCCCCCCCTTCTCCAGGCTCTGACTGCCACCCTCGCTCAGGGGGGACATTGCTGGGTCCCAGACACGGCCCCAACCCCCCAGGTCACCTCTGGGGTGGGGAACTGGTTTAACTGGGCCCTTCTTCCAGTGCCTGGGAGCCTGTCCCACCTGCCCCCCCCCAGCCTTAATGCCAAAGCCAAAGAGCCCCCCACCCCCTGGGCAGGCCCCATCCCGGTGTTCCCACTGCCCCCCACCCCAAATCCCAGTCTGTCCAGACTGCAAACCCCCCCCTCCTGCTCCGGGGGGGGCAGATCCCCAGGGATGGGGCGGGGGGGGCCTGTACATAGTGTTCATAATGTCTGTCTGTCTGGGGGGTCCCCCCAACCTCCCGTCCGTGAGAGCACCAGCAGTGCCCCCCCAATTAAACCCTTTCTCAGGGGACTGTGACCGTGTCCTTTGTCACCCCTCGCCCTGGCCCGGGGGGTTGGATGGGACCCCCGGACCCCCCCTTGGTCCCCTGGGCCCGATGCCCCCTGGCAGCAGCTCCCCCCCTCTGGCTCAGGGATCCAGGGCATCCCGGGGGTGGTTTTGGGCTGTTCCTGGAGCCCAGAGCGGGCAAAACTGGTTAAAAAGTGATTTGTGGCTTCAAATAATGCAAATGGCCCAAAATAACGCAATTGATTAGGCGAAAGTGGGTTAAAACAATTAAATTACGCAAAATTAGCTGGAGACGGAATAATTAATGATGCAAAATCTGCTTAAAATAACGCAATTAAGGATGCAAAAAATGGCCTGAAATAAGGCAATTTTGTATTTGCTTAAAGTGGCAATAATGTGAAAAATACTTAAAATAATGCCATTTTCTGAAAATAACGGAATTTACGATGCAGGAATTGCTTAAAGTAGCCCATTCATGCAAAATGTTGTTAAAATAATGCAATTAGGCGTGCAAAAATTTGTTTAAAGAACACAACTTTGCACGATTTGGTTAAAACGATGTAATTAATGGTGCAAAAAATTGCTTGAGATGCAATTTTGCGTAATTTGCTTGTAATGATCCAACCAACGATGCAAAATCGCTTTAAAGTGATACAGAATTTGCTCAAGGTAGCAAAACTAACAAGCGAATTTCGCGTCACGGCAACGCGATTTTTTTGCGCGATCCGGTTTAAAACAACGCGGCCGAAACGATCCGAAAAAGAAAAAAAAAACGAAAAAAAATCGCTTAAAAATAACGCGATTATGGAAATCGGGGCGTTTTCCCCGCCCGCCCCCAAAGCCTCGTCACGCCGTAATTAAGCCGGTAATTAACGCGCAATTAAAGCGGCCGAGGGCGCCCCCTGGCGGTCCCGGGGGGGTGACACCGGAGGGGACAGCGCGGGGGGGACACCGGACCCCCCAGCCCCGGGGACAGCCGGGGCCCGCTCCGGTGGCGGGAGGGGCGCCGGGACCCCCCCGGGGAAGGGTCGCTGTGAAACACGGCCGGGCTGTGCTTGGGAGAACAATAAATAGCGAGAAATAAAATAGGGGGGGGACAAGGCACGGGGGGGGGGACAAGGCACGGGGGGGGGGGACAAGGCACGGGGGGGGGGGACAAGGCACGGGGGGGACACACAAGGCACAGGGACACACCGCGGCATCGCCCCACGGTGCCGGCAGCAGGGATTAGGGGTGGGGGGCTCCCGGCCCCCCCCGCTCTGCTCCGTGCCCCGCGTGGGGGGGTCTGGGGGGGTCCGGCAGAGCGGCCACCCCGGCGGGTCCCCTCCGTCACTTCCCTGCCCGCTCCTTGTGCGACTCCGTCACCACCTGCTGCGGGAGGAGAATTTGGGGGTCAGCCCCATGTCAGGGTCGGGCCCCCCCCCCCCCCCCCAGGTCAGGACCCCCCCCCAGGCCTCACCTGCCCGTCCCGGGTCTCGATGGTTTTGATGAGCACCGTCCTTCGTGCCGGGATCTCCACGGGCTGGGGCTCCAGCACTGGGCACGGAGGGGCCATCAGCCCCCCCTGCCCCCCCCCGGGCACCCTGAGCACGGGCACAGGGACCCACCCACATCCCTGTAGGGTCTCTATCCCCCAAGGATAGACCCCAGACCTAGTGAGGGACCCCCGGCTCACCCCTCACCTGAGCTTCTCACGCTGAAGGAGGTGGTTGGGTGCAGGGGGACGGTGATCCTGGGGGGAGAGAGGGGGTGAGGGGGGTCTGGGGCTCCTGGGTATTGCCAGTGACCCCAACCCTTCCACGCACTCGAGTCCATGACCTTCATCCCGGCTCAGCTGGGGGCTGTGCCCATGGGCTGCCAGGCTGGCACCGGGAGCGGAGCCGGAGGCAGCTCCCCCACCATCACACCAGCCCCTGGCCTTGCCTTTATCTCGGCGGCGAGAAGCTCCCACGGGAACCTCTTGTTTTCCTGTGGGAACAGGGCCTGGAGCTGCCTCCTCCCAAGGAAACCCCCTGACAAGGCAGGCCCCCCTCACCGGCTCTCCTCGCCCTCCAGCAGCTTGCGGTACGTGGCGATCTCGATGTCCAGGGCCATCTTGACGTTGAGCAGGTCCTGGTACTCGCGCAGGTGCCGCGCCATCTCCTCCTTCATCTGCTGGATCTCCTGCTCCAGCCGCCCCACCGCGGCCTGGTAGTTGCCGATCTCCTCCCCGAACTCGTCCTCCATCTCCCGCATCTGCCGCTGCAGCGCCTCGTTCTGGGGGGGGGGGGGAGAAGGGGCTGCATAGGGCTGGGGTGGGGGCACCCCCCGGCCACCACCCCCCCGGCTCTCACCATGCCCTTCAGCCCGTCCACCTCGCAGGTCAGGCTCTGGATGTGCCGCCGGGACTCGTTCATCTCCTGCTTGGCCAGGCGCAGGGCCTCGTGGTTGCGGTTGGCCGCGTCCGACAGGTCGGCGAACTGCGAGGGCCGAGCGAGTCGGGGCTCTGGGGCTCCTCGACTCCCCCCTTCCCCGGCCCCTCCCGAGCCCCCCCCCCCCAGCCCCGGGTACCTTCGACTTGTACCACTCCTCGGCCTCCTGCAGGTTCTTGACGGCGATGCTCTCGTACTGGGTGCGGATCTCGCGCAGCGCCGCCGTCAGCTCCGGTTTGCAGCCCTCCACCTCCGCCGGCCCCGCCGGGCTCGGGGCGCTCACCTCCAGGTCCCGCAGCTCCTGCGCAGGCACGCGGCTGTCACGTCGTGGCACACGGACCCGGCCCGCTTCCCCCACCCCACCCCGGGCCCCACCTCCTCGTGCAGCTTCTTGAGGAAGCCGATCTCGTCCATGAGCAGCTCGACCCTGCGCTCCAGCTCCAGGCGGGACAGCGTGGCGTGGTCCAAGTCCTGGGGGAGAGGCTGGGATGAGCTGCAGGGCAGCAGGAGGGGATGGGAACCCCCTGGGTCTTCCCCCCTTCCCGGGGTGGTGGAGGATGGAGATTGGCACTGCACGGGGGGACAGGCCCCCCCCCAGCCCCCTCACCTTGCGGAACAGCACCAGGGTCTTCTCTGCATCCTCACGCTTCTGTGTCTCATCTTCCAGCCTGGGGACAGCAGGGGGTGAGAGGGAGGTGGGAGACAGGGTGCAGACCCCTCCTCTCACACCTCCTGTTGTAGCCCCCCCCACACTGGAGGCCCATGGGAATGGATTGTCCCCCAGTGCTCACACAGGTCCACTCACAGTGACCCCACCCTGCCCCTCCCAGTGCCCCGTCCTTCCGCAGAGCCCGGATCTCCCAGTACCTCCCAGTGTTCCCTGTGCATCCCTGGTGCCTCCCCAAGCGTCTGCTGAATGCATCCCCAGTCACCCCCCAGTCCCCACTCTGGCATCCCCGGGGCTCATCCATCCCCCTCCCGGTGCATCCTCTGGTCCCAGCACATCCCTCATCCCGGTGCATTCCCCAGTCCCCACCCAGCTGGTGCAGCTCTCATCCCATCGCATCCCTCATTCCATGACATCCCTCATCCCAGCTCATCCCCTGACCCCTCTCTGGCACATTCCCCAGTCCCCATCCCATGCATCCCTCATCCCGACTCATCCCCGGTCCCCAGCCCGGCGCATCCCTCATCCCGGCACATCCCTCATCCCGGCGCATCCCTCATCCCGGCACATCCCTCATCCCGGCACATCCCTCATCCCGGCACATCCCTCATCCCGGCGCATCCCCGGGTCCCTCTCTGGCACATTTCCCGCTACATCCCTCATCCCGACTGATCCCCGGTCCACATCCCGGCGCATCCCTCGTCCCGGCGCATCCCCGCTCCCCATCCCGCTGCCTCCCCCGGCCCCTCCGCCCGCCCACCGCTGCCGCAGGGCCGCCAGGTCGGTGGCGAGCCCGTCCCGCTCGGCCTGGAGCCGGTCCCGGTCGCGGCCGAGGCGCTCCAGCCGCTCCCGCAGCCCCCGCAGCTCCCCCTGCACCAGCCCGGTGCGGGGCCCGGTGGCGGCGGCGGCGCGGCCCAGGGCGGCGCGGAGGGTCCCGTTCTGCCGCTCCAGCGCCCGCACCCGCTCCAGGAAAGCGGCGAAACGATCGTTCAGCGCCGCCAGTTCCTCCCGCTCCGCGCCCCGCGCCGCCGCCGCCGCCGCCAGCCGCCCCGGGGCCACGGGGAGGGGCGGCGACGCCCGGGGGTCGCGGTCGCGGCGGCTCATGGTGCCACCGGGAGGGCGGCGGCCGCCGGTCCCGGCTGTTTATAGAGGACAGCGGCTCCGCCCCGCTGGGGGCACCCGGGGGTACGGAGGAGAGGGGAGGGGTCTCCCGGTCGGGGGGAGGACCGGGGGCTGCGGATGTCCCCTCCCGGGGGCGGGGGGAGCGGCTGCGGGACGGGGGGCTGCAGGCGGTCCCCTTCGTAGGGGCCCGGAGACCCCCCGGGGGTGCGGGGAGGGGGGGCTGGTGGGTCCCGTCTCCAGGGTGCAGCATCAGGTGTGGGGGGCAGAGGGGCCGGGGGTGCTCGGGAGACACGGACCCCCGGCCGGGGCAGAGGGAGCCCGTGGGGTGCCCCCCAGGCAGCAGGGGCAGACCCCCCAGTTGGAAAGCAGGGAGGGGCGGGGGGGCTGCAGGGCCCGGGCGGAGCCCCCATCGCAGCCGGGTCCCGGCCTGCCCGGGATGCTCCGCACGCGCGGAGGGGGGGCCGGTCCCTCCCCGCGGTGCCGGGGCAGCCGTGACTCGGCTCTGCGGGAGCCGCCATGTGCGGGCAGCGCCGGACAACGGGCTCGGCCCCCCCTCGACCCCCCCTTTCCGGGCAGCGAGGGCGGCACTTACGGGAAGGAGTCAGTGCCCTGTCCAGGGGCTGTAGGGGGGGGTCCCTCCCGCCCAGGACCCCCCTCCCAGCTCTGCAGAGCCCGACACTGAGAGTGGCTCCGTGCCAGGAGCAGCACAGCACCACGTCCAGCCCAGCCTGTCTGCACCAGGGCTGGGTCCTACCCACGCACAGGGGGCTACCAGGGGAGTCCCCCCCACTTGGCGTCCCCCAGGGACAGTAGAATGGGGAGGGGGACATCAAGACTGCGTGGCAAACGGCCCAGCAGGGCACTGCCAGCTCACGGCACAGGACCCAGCCACACACAACTGCCCAGCGTCCCCCAGCACAGCCCCTGTGCCAGCTGGCAGCACAGGCAGGCAGCCAGCCCAGCCGGGGCCCCCCTCCCCTGGGACGTCCCCCCAGGTCACCACAAGGCAGATTGTCCTGGCACAAAGAACGAGGCAGGAGTGGAAAGAGCCATTTTAATGAACAGCACCACAGTGAAACACAAGAGACAAGGCACTAGTATTCTGCCCCCTCATCATCACCCTCCATGCTGTCAGCCCCCACCTCCTCGTAATCCTTCTCCAGGGCAGCCATATCCTCCCGGGCCTCCGAGAACTCCCCCTCCTCCATGCCCTCCCCCACGTACCAGTGCACGAACGCCCGCTTGGCGTACATCAGGTCAAACTTGTGGTCCAGGCGGGCCCAGGCCTCGGCGATGGCCGTGGTGTTGCTCAGCATGCACACGGCCCTCTGCACCTTGGCCAGGTCCCCCCCGGGCACCACCGTGGGCGGCTGGTAGTTGATGCCCACCTTGAAGCCGGTGGGGCACCAGTCCACGAACTGGATGCTACGTTTGGTCTTGATGGTGGCGATGGCGGCGTTGACGTCCTTGGGCACCACGTCCCCGCGGTACAGCAGGCAGCACGCCATGTACTTGCCGTGCCGGGGGTCGCACTTCACCATCTGGTTGGCCGGCTCGAAGCAGGCGTTGGTGATCTCGGCCACCGACAGCTGCTCGTGATAAGCCTTCTCGGCCGAGATGACGGGGGCGTAGGTGGCCAGCGGGAAGTGGATGCGGGGGTACGGCACCAGGTTGGTCTGGAACTCCGTCAGGTCCACGTTCAGGGCCCCGTCAAAGCGCAGGGAGGCCGTGATGGAGGACACGATCTGGCTGATGAGGCGGTTGAGGTTGGTGTAGGTGGGCCTCTCGATGTCCAGGTTGCGGCGGCAGATGTCATAGATGGCCTCGTTGTCCACCATGAAGGCACAGTCGGAGTGCTCCAGGGTGGTGTGGGTGGTGAGGATGGAGTTGTAGGGCTCCACCACGGCCGTGGAGACCTGTGGGGCCGGGTAGATGGAGAACTCCAGCTTGGACTTCTTGCCATAGTCGACAGAGAGCCGCTCCATGAGCAGGGAGGTGAAGCCAGAGCCGGTGCCGCCCCCAAAGCTGTGGAACACCAGGAAGCCCTGCAGCCCTGTGCACTGGTCAGCCTGGAAGAAGGGAAGAGGAAAACAAGACTAAATGACCAGTAATTCTGAATTTAAGCTGCTACCCAGTTGCTCAGGATGGCAAAGAGTCACCCCAGGATCTCAGGCCTCTGGGGCCCCTGCAACAGTGCCCCAGCTCCGCTTCCAGCTCCAGGCCCTTGGAGAAAGGGGTCCCTTCCCACAGGGACTGGGGGATACTCAGGAGAGACAAGGTGTGGGGACATGTTTATTCTGGGCAGCAGACGTTGCTCCTTCCTCTCTGTGGCCTCACGAGGATATTTTGGGGGGGTCCCAGCAGCAGGGTGGCCGTGACCTCACCTGTTGGACAGTACTCATGATGAATCCTCCAGCTCATGGGAGAGACCCCAGGGAGGTCCAGAGGGCTTCACCCCTTCTTCCTCCACAGGGTGGGTGCAGCAGGAGCCATCATCCCACAGGAGCCCACGGGCTGCCAGCTCAGCCTTTGATGTCCCGGGAGCTCCCGGAGCGGAGCCGGCGGCGCAGCAGGTCCAGCCAGACCCGGCACCAGCCCCAGCGTGGGAACCAGAGCTTCAAAGAGCTTGGCCAGCCACACCAGTCAAACCAGTGCTGTACCAGCACCCAAACCATCTGGGCTGCCTCCCCCCCTTGCCCTGAGCATGGGGCTTCCCATCCTCCTCCCTTTGGCGAGGATTAGCACCGGGCAGGGACAGGGGGACAGCCCAGACCTGCCCCCCACACCTGGTGGCAGCAGGTCCATCCTGTGCCAGCTCAGCCCTCTGCTCCAAAGTGTGGATGGACTGAGAAGGACCTACCCAGGGACACCTGGGCCTTCCTTTTGTCTCCACACCCCTGCAGGGATGGACCCACCCCGCAGGACCCCACGGCCGCTCACCAGCTTGCGGATGCGGTCGAGGACCAGGTCGATGATCTCCTTCCCGATGGTGTAGTGCCCGCGGGCGTAGTTGTTGGCCGCATCCTCCTTGCCCGTGATCAGCTGCTCGGGGTGGAAGAGCTGCCGGTACGTCCCCGTGCGCACCTCGTCTGCGGGGAGAGCCCCGGGCCCCGTCAGCACCCAGCGCCCGCTCCCAGCGCCCGCCCGTCGCCCGCCCGCCGCCCCCCGCGCCCCCTCACCGATCACCGTGGGCTCCAGGTCCACGAAGACGGCCCGGGGCACGTGCTTGCCGGCCCCCGTCTCGCTGAAGAAGGTGTTGAAGGAGTCGTCCCCCCCGCCGATGGTCTTGTCGCTGGGCATCTGCCCGTCGGGCTGGATGCCGTGCTCCAGGCAGTACAGCTCCCAGCAGGCATTGCCGATCTGCACGCCCGCTTGGCCCACGTGGATGGAGATGCACTCGCGCTGCGGGGGCACACGGCACCGGCTCACCCCCTCCGGCCCCGCTCTGGGCCCCCCCAGCACCCCCCGGGCTGGCACCGAGCTGGGAAGGGCCCGGCCCCAGGGCCGGATGGGGCCAGATCCTGCCCAGACACCCCCATTGCTCTGGGTCTGGGGGTGCACCCAGTGCAGGGGGTGCTCAGCTCTGGGGGTCCCACACTGCCCCCCCCCAGGCAGCTGGGACCCTGCACCAGTTGGTGCCGTTCACCTACACCCCACCCCAGAACCAGGAGCTGGGGTTCTCCAGGGTTATTCCCGGTGCCCACCATTCCCAGTCCCCTCTGCCCACGGCTCACATGGGGACAGGGACACTTTTTTAGCTCCATCCCCGGTTCGGGGGTACCCCTAGACCCCAGGGAATGGGGAGCCCCCTTTTCCCCGGCAGCCCTTGCACAACCCCGGGCTGTCCCCGTCCCAGCACAGCCCCGACCCTGCAACCGGCTCCGCTCGGCACAGGAGCAAACTCCAGCTACTGGGAAAAGTTTTCCCGGCGCGGCCGCTCCCGGCTGTGCCCGGGCCGTGGTGAGGGGGGGCTGCCTCCCCCACCGTGACTCCCTCCCACGCGCGATCCCGGCGGCAGGGGGGGGCCCGGCACCCCCACGTCCCCTCGGGGCAGGCTCCTCTCCCGGGAGGGAGCTGAGAATGTGTCCGGGATCTGCGTGGGAGTCCGGGACACGCGGTACAGACCGGCGGCTGGCAGGGAGCCCGGGGGGGGGGTCGGCACATCCCGGGGTTGGAGCACCCAAGGCAGCGACCCCCGGCCGGGGGGGGGGGTCCACGGTTCCAGAGGGGCACCCGGAGCACCACGATCCCCCACCTCGGGTCCTGCAAGTGCTCGGCAGCCCCACGGGGCGCCCTGAACACGCGAGGAGCCCCCACTCCCCCTCCACGTGCTGCCCTGGACACGGGGGGATCCGACCCGGGGGGATCGGACCCGGCACGTCCCCCCCCTCAGCCCGGGGGTCCCGCGGCCCCCCCGCTCACCATGGCCGCTCACTGCCCGAACCGTTACGGAGCCGTCGAGGAGGAAGACGGGGGTCCCCGGGAGGACCCCCCGAGTTATACCCCGAGGGGCGGGGACAAGGGGGGCGGGGACAAGGGGGCGGGGCAATAAGTACTTTGTCCCGCCCCCCCGGGGTTACGTGCCGCCCCGGTCACGGCCCCTCCGCCCCGCCTCGGTTCTGATTGGCAGGTTCGAATTTGGGGGGGCGGTGACGTCAGCGGAGTGGAATGTGGGGGGCGGGGGGCGGGGCTGGACTGGGAAGGGGCGTGGCCGTGTTTGAGTGGGCAGGGCGATGGGTGGGGAAAAGGCGGGGATAGAGGGGCGGGGGATTGGGGGCTTCCGAAAGGGGGGGCGGGATGAGACCGGGGGGGTCAGAAGGGTGGGAGGACATTCGGGGCAGCGGGGCCGCGGGAGCACTGGGGTGAGGGGGTTTAGGGGGGCTTTAGGGGGTTTTGGGAAGGGGGGGCTTTGGGGTATAGGGTCGGGGGGTCAGCCGGTGGTAGGAGGGGTCCCTGCACCCCTCGGCCGCGGCCGCAGGCGCCGCATCTACCCAGAGAGCGCCCGGGCCCTGCCCGG